ACCCTCAGCGCGTAAGACACAACTGTACGTCGCTTCCGTCGACTGAAAAAATGGCAATTTAAACTAGTTCCACCAATTCAAAGTTATTTTTCTCTACTTAAAAAAAGCAAAAAAATTTAAATAAGTTTAGCTTTCTGTGCTATATTAATTTGATTTCTATAACGCATTTTTATAGGTCTGACATCCTCTTGTATAAAGGGAAAAGGTCTGATTTAAAAAAAAGTATGTCGAATGAAAGAGGTATATACAAAGTATTTATAATTATAGAACAGAATTGATTTNAGTATATATAAAGTATTTATCATTAAAGAATAAAGTTGATTCATGCATTTTTTAAAAAGTTATAGCAACATAATGTTAAAAAATGTAAAATATAATATCAAGAATTTTTTCACAAAAATAGCATATTTTTGCATACGGTAGTTATTTTTATTATGAATAGAAGTCCNGTACATGCCTAAAATATTACCACAAAAATAGCATATTTTGTGTCAAATATATAGTGGTCAAATTTTTTTTTTCAAATTAAAGTATATTACATAAACATTAATTTAAAGTATATATAAAAGTGTCAGTCTTTCCGAAACATTTTCAAAAGTTAATTATTTGTGAAAAAGTTGCCATTTTGAAACCCTTCCTGTGGGCTGGTAAAGGGTCAAATGTTCACAAAAATATATAAAATGATAAGTAAATACCTAAAATATCTATAAAATAAAAAACTATATTGATTCGGTCATTTTTAATAAAGTTATGGCGATTTTAAGAAAAAAAATTGAAAAAATATCGAAAATTAGCGATTTTTAAATTTGTAATTTTTTGGGGGATTTCCCCCGTTTACGGGGAACGAGGGAATTTTTTTCAACTTTTGAGGGTAATTTTTTCGACTAGATACGATATGTGATCTTTTGACATATTGTTCATCAAAATCGGTCCAGCGAAAGTTGAGATTGAGCGTTCACAGACACAAAAAAAAGGGAAAAACTATGGTAAAATTAATATCTTCTCAGCTCCGCATCGATGCTAAAATACGAATAATGCTAATTATTTATTTCTTTAATATTCATTTCAATTTTGAAAAACTCATTGAAAGGCTATTATAGTATGTTAATTTATTTTGCAAAAAATACTCGAACAAAGGCATTTTCAACTAACAAGTAATAGTAATTGATTTGAGCAGCAGTGGACTGAGGATATTCAGCCCCGTGAACTAGAAAAAATTCAACCCCTATTTCTATGTTTACCGACCCAGGAAATTATTTCTTTTTACTGCTCATGAATGAAATTTTTTTGAGAAAAATTTTAGTATTTTTAATATTAACATATTTCTATGTCATATCCTCTTAATTATTTTTTTTGGTTATTATATGCCACCAATTAAATTATTTTAATTCCCAAAAAATGTTACCATAAAACCGTCTATGGATTCATTATGAAAATATTTGTATGACTTTTTGTTGTACATTATTAATAAAACAGTTTTTTTCATATCAATAAAATATAAAAATAATGAAAAATACAAACAAATTGTTAAATAGCAGCCGCAGAATTTTATCAGTACTCTGTCTGACTGCTTTTCGGTCATCATCATAATGATCACCGGCCTACTATACTGTAGCACAATAGCACAGTGGACCAGTATGTCACTGAGTTTGAGTTGTTATTATTAAAAAAAAAAAAAAGGACATCATAAAACATCATAAAGATCATGTATTCTGGTAATTTTACTTTGAGACTTCATTTGACTTTTATATGTATTAAAATACTAGTCTAGACATACATAAAATAAAGGATTTATACACGTGCAACGTTTCTAATTACAAATGAGAGTCTTTGGTCGAAAAACAAATAATTGTTGTAAAGAATATATGTTTATTAAAAAACAAATAATGTACATAGTGTTATATCTAATAAAGTGTCTGTTGCGTGTATTTGCTCAGTTTTTATTGAGCTACTGGACATTTTTAGTGTCGAGCAAATTACTTGACATCTCGATGGTACTTATTTACTGGTAATGGTGAAACTTGCATTTTATGTCCTACTAAAATAAAAATCTTTAATCGATGGTCAAATAATTCAACGCGGAACTTGCCTCCCCGCCGTTTAATGTCTTAATATAATAAGAAACTGTACGTGTACCCGACACAACTATAAACAAAAATTCACTTTTTGAACTAAACTATCACCTCTGTTTCAGGCTAAAACAATCTCTGCCACAGTAACTATTTAATAATAAATTTGAAAATAAAGTATTTAAGTAAAATAATAAAATACGTGAACACTACACGCAAACTCCACTAACTATAAAATAGACGCATACATTAAACAACAATAAAAAAAATAATAATGTTTAATTGAAACTTATAATTGAGTCATCTACAATTTTTCAAAATGAATTATAATATCGCTGAATTTAGTGTAGTACCTACAATTTGAACGTTACAGCTCTATTATGTTAGTAATAATAGACGTTAAAGGATCTGAGTTAATAACATAGTTTACCTACAAAATTGATTTAAAGTGGTAAGATATTATTTATATAGTAATATTACGGGTTTAGATCAACAATGTTCACGACGGTGTCATTAATTCTTCTCGGTCTCATGTAGAATCTCTATTGCACATTTATTCACTAATCGGCTTAGACAAAAGACAATATATAAATTGTATTAATAAATGAATAATAATTAGAAGACACACGATGCGTAGTTTATGACTAGCGGGCATGTGGGATATTAGTCTGAGAAATTAATAACTTTTTTTTTTTATAAGAGTGGAAAAAATCCATCGCAGTATATTGTCTTATATTATTAAACGCATGAGATCGTGGTGGTCTTGGACCGAATAACAGTCATCAGAGAGATTTAAAAAACAATGGCGCATAGGTAAAACTAAAATCAAATTCGTTGTCCCATTGTGTGTGTGGCGTTTAAGTAATTACGATATACGTTTCGATTATTCTGGGATTATTGTTTTATACGTCTCCCTTGGTCTGCCATTCAAAACTATTACTGCGATTTATTCATGAATGGTAAATGGTGAACTAATTGATCCCCAAGGCATACATTATAATCAGTCAATCAGTAATCGAGACACAACTACATAGATACCAAACACGTGTTATTGATAGTCACGAGTCAAGACCGATTCTTCAAACGGAATCTCCATTCATAAAAAATTATTATCTGATTTTTAAACATATATAATAATATTAAAATTTGTCATCATGGAGAATTTGTCATCATTGAAGCATGGAGAAATAATAACGCTAAGCAATAATTTCCCCGAAAAATTAAAAACATAATAATTAATAGAAGAGTATTACAAATATAGACAAATTATTTGAACATTATATTTACTTTTTAAGTAATATATATATTGTTATACTTTGATGACAAATTTTTGAGATGAAAAAAAAAACAAATCCAATGAAATTGTCTTATTTCAATGATATTTATAATTGATTTTAATAATAAATTAAAAAATTGTTAGATATTTTAAATGGTTAAATTGTTTTGTACGAGTCTTCGTTGAGTCAACATTCTGAGGGTGTATTAGGATTTTATTTCTTAAGGTGTAAGAAAATATGTTGGATTGAATAAAAATACTTTAAATAAGAATAGATTAAAATAGAGTCCATTATGTATATTATCATTTAATGTATTATGTGTTTTTTCTTAAAATCTATTTGAACAGTCTACTAGCACTAAAAACATCTGCAACATAAACCGAAAGTATCACAGCGTTATCCTGAAGAATATATTCATATTCGTATTTTATATATTTTAAAAACATAAAAGTAAATCAAAAAATTTAAATAATAAATGTTGAATGAAAGATTATTAATTTTTAATTCCTATATTTATTCACAATTATTAAACAATTAATTTTCTGGTATTGATGTTTTGATTCTCGTGCGTTGTAAAAGAATATGTGGATATTTTCAAGTGTAATAGGGAGTAGATATATTTATAAGTTTCCTTGGTCTACCATTAGTATTGAATATTTAATACCAATAAAACACATTGTAAAATATTTAAAAAGTGATTTACTAAACACCTTGAAAATTAGTCGAGAAATTCCATATTTCTCAATTAATTTGCTTTCAAAGTTATTTTGATGAATAAATGCTTAACTGTCTACTATTCAATGTTCAATCATTTAACGTTTAGGATGATCTGAAAAAAGCGTACTTATTTTTAAAAAACGGCAACATTATCATGTTGTATATTGATGATCATTACCGGTTTATAAAAATATGATAAAATGCCTAATAACATTTTTTTAATAATGTTGTGACGTTATTACAACATATAATGTTATAAAAATGTTTTTATAAAATTCTATATTAAAATTGCTATCTGTATGTACACCCTATGATATTATAAACCAGCACCACTTCTCAATAAGACCCAAAAAATAACAGATTTTAAAAATAAGTTTTCTATTTTCTATCTACTTGAAAAGAACTAAATGTATTTTCTAAAAAAATTTTAAAAGTTTACTATGAAGAGTAACAAAACAAAAAAAATTATTATCTACTGGTTAAAATACAATAAACCAATAACATGACAAATGATTATTAGAATCATTAACAATTTACAATGTAATCATTGTAGTAAATAAAAAAATTTTATATAGTCATAGCTCATCAAAAAAAAATGTCATTATATATCTTAACATATTTTTCACAATGGTAAATTTTACACTATGCAAGTCTTGCTTAGCGTTCCATTGCATACTATTCCGCAAAATTTCATTCTTGATAACTACTTTTCTAATCTGTATAACACACCGCAAATTCATATTTATAAATAACACTAGTATAAAAAAATTATTCCAATATAATATATAAACAATGAAACGACTAAAAATAATCAACTGCTGCATTTGCTTAAAATATTAATATTAAACTTATCCATATATGTTAGGTATTACAATTTATTTTTTACATAAAAATAAATAAGTTCTATTAAAATTTTACAAATTATAATATTTTTTAATGTTAAATTGTGAATCATGTTACCAAAGTTATTTTATTCTATTTGTTATACTTTGTGGATTTTAACTAAAACATGTTTTATAGATTGTAAAATAAGGCCAAAAACATATGAGAAATATTTGTCAGGAGTAATGAATCATATAAGTGAACAAGTTGGATGGGATTCTATGCAGCATTTGGAAATTAAATACGACATTTCTACAGAGATAAGTACTAATATTAAAGACGTAATTTGCAAAGGGAGTCGTATAGTACTACCAAAAAAGTTCGATGCTATAATTCATATATTAAATTACATGTATGCAGAAGTCATAAAAACATTTATTGATCATATTAGAGCTATAGCTAACCAATGTCAAGAATATTACGACATAAACCAGGGAGATAATTTTTTAAGTTGTACAGTTCTAATTCAAAGTGTTGTGGAAAATTCGAAAACCATGTTTGAGCAGTTATACAATGTAATGAACTATCTTAGCAACATCGATTTTAAACTATTAGTGAGTGGAAAACAAACTTTCTCAATACCTATTGTAGATGAAATTTATACATTTGTAGAATTTGCAACACTAAAAATTCAACAAAATACTCAGATTTTTATCGACCTAAACGATCCCAAGACAAAAGAAGATGCTTATAAGGTTATTTTAGATGTGAACAGTTTTATCGAAGGAATGGGTAACGAAAGCTATCAGACAATTAAAGAGAAAAATAGTTTCATTGTTTACAATCGTAAATCAAAGTGCTTACTTGAAGAGAATCTAAAAGACTATAATGAACGACAAAATAAAAACATTGAGTTGAGCTATTATTTAAGTGAATGGCTTAACGTGTATTACGTTGAAATTTCTAAAAATTTCTACAAAAATCTTGGCTTTGAACAAGTTTTAGATTTAAATGAGAAAAGGTAAGAAAATCTATTTCAAAACTTTGTAGAGTAATAGTGAAAATTTATAAATTACCGTATATAAATGTCAAATTTATTGTTTCTTTTACTTTTTTTAATAATCAAAAAAAAAATGTATATATATATATAAAGTACACAATCTAGTAATAAGTAACTTTTTAATGATATTTGGCACAATAACATGATGAAAAATCATGTTATATGAGTTTACCAACAATTATAGAATTTAACGCTGTCAACTGTATAATTACTATTGTGTATTCAATGTATAATTTTATCCATAATTTTAGAAAACATATTTATCTATTTTTATCACTAAATATACTATTAATGAAATAGTTTACTCAACCGATATTAACATTATTCGCTTTACCTGTGATAATAATTTTACAAATTTCCTTTATTAATTTTTGAAAAAAAATATTCTTAGCAATGTTTATACGTTATATGAAAATATATACCCCTAACCAAATGAGAATTTTATGTTAGGCACTCTTCTCACATGTAATTAAATATTATATTAGCTCAAAAAATAATATTATCAAACACTTTGAAAATAGTCAAAATTTTATTTTATTTTCAAAAGTTACCTCTAAAATGTACTCTTAGGAATAATTATTATGAAAACATTAGTGGAAGTATATTTAATAAATCACAAATGCATATATTTTTTAGTAGTATCAAACATCCAGTTCATAAATATAATAACATTAGACAAAAGGATAAAATCGAACAATTAAATGCAATTACTAATGAAAGTGGATGGAAATCATTGAAACATATTAATATTGTATTTAATGACCAAGTTATAAGCGTAGACCGTATTCTTAGACACCCAGCAGACAAACTAAATTTTCATTGCAAAAAACAACATTTATTAAGATTGATCAAGTGCATTTATACAGAAATAATGATTAAGTATTATGAATATGTAAATTTTATATTAAATTTTTGTGAATCCGAAAATGTAAAAACTAATGATTTAATATATATAAATTTTGTGCGACAAATTTTTGATGCAGTTCATAAGTCAATTAAAATGTTTGAAGTAATGTATAAAACATTGGTTACTTTAAATAAACTAATAGGAGAATATTTGCATGACAACTACAATTCGAATTTAAAATGTTTGTGCACTTCAATAAGCAAATTACTTGGGGAAATAAAGTCAGAAAAATATATCCTGGATGTTTTGGATAGCAAAAGTGATAACAGTAAACAGGAATTAACCCTAATTAATGCAAGAAACTACTCACATACTTTCTCAAAATTTCTAAAATTTAACAAATCGAAAAGTCATCCATTAAATAGAATGCACGAAAAACAATGTCCATTACGAAATTTATTGTTAAACATTGACATACCTTTATCAATAAATACCGACAATTTTTCATATGCTTGTAACGAACTAATTGTATTTTCTAAAAATGTTATAAAAGTTTACTATGAAGAATTAGGTTTAAATAAATTTATTCATTGATGTTTTTTAGCTTCGATATCCATATGGGTCTTATAAATTTTTTATATTACTATTTAATATTTCATAATATTTTAGCTTCGATGTTTAATTAATTTCTTAATTGATTAATATATGTATTAATATTAATTATACTATGTATGTTTTTTTTGTATGTCTCTCCACTTTTTTCAGTTCTCACCGAAACGATATCTTTCAACGATACGTCAATATCATAAATTGTTTAATAGTCGAAAATATTATCCTTAATATGTTTGAACATATTATTTAAACAATTAAAAATAATCAACCACTATGTTTGCTTAAAAATATTAATTTATATGAAAATTTTAGGTACTACAATATATATTTAACACAGAAAATTAATAAATTCTACTAAAATTTTACTTACTATAAAATTTGTGTAATTTAAATTTTGAATAATGTTACCCAAGATATTTTATTCTATATTTTATACCTTTTGGATTCTAACTACAAAATGCTTTGTGAGTTGCAAAATAAGACAAAAAACATATGAAAAGTATTATTCAGTAGTAATGGATCATATAAGTGAAAAAGTTGGATGGGATTCTATGCAGCATTTGGAAATTAAATACGACTTTTCTACAGAGATAAGTACTAAAATTAAGGACGTTATTTGCAAAGAGAGTCGTATAGTACTACCAAAAAAGTTCGAAGCTATAATTCATATTTTAAATTACACGTATACAGATGTCATTCACACATTTATTGATCATATTAGCGCTATAGCTAAACGATGTCAAGAATATTATGACTTCAATCTGGGAGATGATTTATTAAGTTGTATAGTTTTACTTCAAAGTGTTGTGGAAAATTCGAAAACTATGTTTGAACAGTTATACAATGTAATGAACTATCTTAGCAACATAGATTTTAAATTATTAGCCAATTTTAAAAAAACATTTTCAGTACCTATAGTAGATGAAATTTATACTTTTGTAGAATATGCAACATTAAAAAGTAAAAAAAATACACAGATTTTTATCAATCCAAACGATCCAAACACAAAAAGAGAAGCTTGTGAGGTTATTTTAGATGTGAACAGTTTTATCCAACGAAAAGGTCACCAGTCCTACCAAAAAATTAAAGAGAAAAATAGTTTAATTGTATACAATCATAAACAAAAGTGCTTACTTGAAGAGAATCTAAAATACTATAATGCACTACAAAATAAAAACATTGAGTTGAGCTATTATTTAAGTGAATGGCTTAACTTGTATTATGATGAAATTTCTACAAATTTCTACAAAAATCTTGGCTTTGAAGAAGTTTTAGAATCAAAAAAGGAAGGGTAAGAAAATCTATTTGATATTATTGTAGAGTAATAGTAAACATTTATAAATTACTGTTTATATCATTAAATATTCTATTAATGAAAAAGTTTACAAGTCCGATATTAACATTATAATCAACAAACAAAAAATAATGTTTATATGCTAGATGAAAGTCTTAGTCCCCTAACCCAATAAGAATTAATTATTATATCAGAAAATAATTTTATCGAACTGGTTATGAACCAGTCAAACTTTTTTTTAATTCATTCTAACTAATAAACAAAGTAATAACGAGTTCCCATTAAATTCTCAAAAGTTACCCCCCAAGAATTACTTTTTCTTACAATAAAATTGATATTTACAATGATTCATAATAATTAATTAAATTTTTATGAAAACATTATTTACGAAAATCTATGAGAAGTATACTTAATAAATCTCAGTGTATATATTTTTTAGTATTTTCAAACCTACAATTTATTCATATAAAAATATTTGTCATAAACAAGTAATCGAACAATTAAACACAATTACTAAAGGAAGTGGTTGGATATCATTGAAACCTATTCATATTGTATTTAATGATCAAGTTGTAAGCGTAGACCGTATTCTTAGACACCCAGCAGACAGACTAAATTTTCATTGTAAAATTGAACATGTATCAAGGTTGATCAAGTGTATTTATACAGAAATATTGTTTAAGTATTGCAAGTATGTAATTTGCTTATTAAATTTTTGTGAAAAGGTTTATGTAAAAAGTAATGATGTAGCATTTATAAATTTTGTGCGACAAATTTTTGATGCAGTAAATGAGACAACTAAAATGTTTGATATAATGTATAAAACATTGGTTTCATTACATAATTTAAGAGGAAAATATTATCATGACAACGTCAATTCTAATTTAATATCTTTGTGTACTTCAATAACAAACTTACTTGAAGAAATAAAATCTGGAAATTGTTCAATAGCTGTTTTGGATACCAAAAGTGATAACAGTAACATGAAAGTAACGCAAATGGACGCAACAACATGCGTTAAAAAATTCTCAGAATTTCTAAAATATTACAAATCGAATAGTCAACCATTAAATAAAACGCATGAAAAACATTGTCGATTACGAAATTTACTGTTAAACATTGACATACCTGACTCAATAAATACCGACAATTTTTCATCTGCTTGTAACAAACTTATTCTATTTTCTAAAAATGTTATAAAAGTTTATTATGAAGAATTAGGTTTAAATAAATTAAATTAATTTATTCATTCATTTTTTTTTTTTACGTCTCAACCATATGCAAAAGCACATAGGGTGCTATAATTATTTGTTTGTATAATCTACAAACCGCTTTTAAAGAAAGTCTTTAAAGACAGACTCATGTCGTTAGATTACATAAAATTGTATTATTCATTCAATAAAAATAATAAATAACACAATATAAATTACAAATAAAACTCTATGTGATACAAATATAAGTAATCGATAAAAATACCAATAAATATAAATAGAATCAATTAATAGGATTTTTATTAAGTACATAGTTTGATTAAAATCAATAATCAGTTGCAAATCTATATAATACAAACTAAAATAATCTATGAAATCTTTGAGTTACAATTTAACTGTTGTCATCTTTGTGACAATTTAATTAAGTCATTCGTACGGAATATAAAAACAAATAAATATATATTATTGTTAACTGCAGGTTTAAATACAATAACCCCCTCTTACACATATTTAAAAATTAAATTAACTCAAAAAATTATTTAATTTTGTTTTTGGAGTCATCCATCACTTTCTTAAAATTAAACACTATCTACAGATTTGGATTGAAGCGTTTCTTACTATAGCGATTTTAATTACTGTCAGTTATCATCTATACTTGTCCCAACTATGCCACGACGAAACTGTGATACCGGTTTTTTTTATTACATTATATAGACCCCTCTCCCTTTTACATCCTTTTATCCCTTTCATCCAAAATACTTTTTTGTGTTTCTACATGGTTATTTGGTGTTTCACATTAAAATACATGAGGACAGTAGATACATATAACTAACACAAATTTTAAGTAAGGCACCATAATAATAATTATAACAACAAGCAAGTAAGCATATACGAATGAGCTTCAAATCTCATAATAAATTGTCTCATTGATTGCGAAATAAATATATATATTAGCATGTAATCAATTAATTTAAACAGAACTTATTAATTTTCTACACAGTAATTTTTAATTGAGAAAAAAACAACTTTTCAATTTAATGCATATTTTCTATTTGATTATATGCAACCATGTGACTGATGCAAATCAGATTATAACTGAAAAACGACGTTCTTATAATAATGTTTATAATTTTTAACAAATTGTCTTAAACTGCTAATAATCAAACATTTAATAAGAAGATCATAAATCATGTCATATAGGTATTTTTAACCTACTTAGAAATATATCCATGTTTTACACAGTATATTACATTATTTAAAAACCAGTAGCGCTAAACGATTTACAACCCCATAACGTTATCGTTTCTTATAATCATGTAAATATTTCGTTTCAATATATACTGATCCTGATTCATAGAACTTTCAAAATTAATAGAATAAAAAAAATATTTATATTAAATCATATCTAATGGTGTATAAAATAATAAAATTGTCCATTGGAAATATGTAGTTAATACAAATTTTAAGCATAAGGTGTATAAAAAAAATTGTATGAACATATTATTTAAACAATTATAAATAATCAACCGCTGTGTTTGCTTAAAATATTATTTTAAATAAATATGATATGTACTAAAATATATATATCTAACACAGAAAATTAATAAATTCTACTAAAATTTCACTTACTATAATATTGTAAAATTTAAATTTTGAATAATGTTACCCAAGTTATTCTATTTTATTTGCTATACTATGTGGATTTTAAATACAATATGTTCTGTAAGTTCTAAAATAAAGCCAAAATCATATGAAAAATATTTGACAGAAGTATTGGATCATTTAAGTGAACAAGTTGGATGGGATTCTATGCAGCATTTGGAAATTAAATACAACATTTCTACAGAGATAAGTACTAATATTAAGGACGTTATTTGCAAAGGGAGTAGTACAATACTATCAAAAAAGTTCGATGCTATAATTCATATATTAAATTACATGTATGCAGAAGTCATCAAAACATTTATTGATCATATTCGCGCTATAGCTAACCAATGTCAAGAATATTACGACTTCAACCAGGGAGATAATTTATTACGTTGTACAGTTTTACTTCAAAGTGTTGTGGAAAATTCGAAAACCATGTTTGAACAGTTATACAATGTAATGAACTATCTTAGCAACATAGATATTAAACTATTAGCGAATAAAAAAAAAACTTTCTCTGTACCTATAGTAGATGAAATTTATACTTTTGTAGAATATGCATCATTAAAAACTAAACAAAATACACAGATTTTTATCAATCCAAACGATCCTAAGACAAAAGAAGATGCTTATGAGGTTATTTTAGATGTGAACAGTTTTATCGAAAGAAAAGGTCACGAGACCTATAAGAAAATTAAAGAGCAAAATAGTTTAGTTGTTAACAATCATAAACCAAAATTCTCACTTGAAGAGAATCTAAAAGACTATAAAGCGCTACAAAATAAAAACATTGAGTTGAGTTATTATTTAAGTGAATGGCTTAACATGTATTATATTGAAGTTTCTACAAATTTATACAATGATCTTGGTTTTGAAGAAGTTTTAGAATCAAAAAATGAAAGGTAA